CCTTCCTTCCTTCCTTCCTTCCTTCCGGGCTTTTGTTATCAGTTTTAATATTTTTGTTTTCATTTGTATTTTCTATTTTATGAGATTGTAACCCACCCAGAGCAGTGCTGCGACACTAATGGGAGTGGGAAGACAAACTGAATGAGTGAATGAATGAATGAATGAATACTTTTTTTAAAAAAAAAATGGCGCTACAAGCTGCCCATCTGTGCTCTACCTTAATGGCAGCTGCGGAAAAGCCCTAAAAAGAATTTCCTTCCAACAAGACTGTACCATTTGTTTTTTGTACATGTAAAGTCAGATCCCTCACTCCCAATTAAACAAGAATATTATGCTTTGTACAGTTCATTGTTTTCTGCTCAATACCTATCTTCTTACATAATAACCCTATGCCGTCAAGTCAATTCTGATTTAGGGCAACTCTTTTTCAGGATTTTCTAGATAAAGAGTACACATGTACAAAATGACTCATCATTCCCTCCTTCTGGGAATGCTCTGGGAGCTTCTGCCACATAAAGTTACATGAGTAGGATTTTGGCCATAGAAAAATAATTTTTCTCAAATAATATGACTTTGTGGCACCAACAAGGAAAAGATGTGCAGAAATCCTTCTAATACATGAACAGTGGATATTTTCAATTCAAAGCAACTCTGTAAACATTAGAGAAACAGTCAAAGAAGAACTATGGGACTAACTCCAAAATAGATATGTATAGGACCACAGTTTAATTATAGAGCAAATCATGGAAATCTAAGAATACTTCTGCTGCAATTCTATATACACAGATTTCTGGGAATAAGTTCTATTGAACTCAATCAAACATTTCTAGGTAGAATTGACTAGCACTACACTCTTGTCTCCGAGTAAACATGTGTTGGAAGTCAATTATACCCAATTTTAGGGGTCTAATAAGGGATCATAGAATTTTGTAGACACTGATGACATTTTATTGATATCATACAAGTTCAGCTGTTTTTCATTTCCTCTTTTGCATAATTATGATTAAGAATAATATTTTAAAAAACAGTTTCATAATTTCACTACATTAATAAAAACGGTCATAATGATGATAACGAATGGACAGGCCAGGCCATGCATATTCTGCCCCTCTAGATTAGCACTGTGCAACAGGGAATCTAAGGTAAAACCCTTTTTATAATGCAGATATTTAGCCATAATGCTCTTGGAACATGGAAGCCTCTGATTTTTCAAAACGTACCATATTTGTTTATTAGACAAGAAAATGAAGTGGTAAGAATACAAATCAGAAAAGCTACCCATCATTCCACCACATGGCCTAAACTCAGAGAATCTACATCTTAAATACATTTTTAATCATTCAGGATCTATACTTTAGATGCTGCATATGTTAAGCACTGGAGTAAGGCAGAAATGTCCATGAGAAGCACATATCTGCACAAAGTCAGAAGTAGCTCTCATTCAGCTACCGCTGTCCTCATTTCAAAAAGAACTATCATTTTATTGAAGACACAGAAACAAGTACCACAATGTAAAATGATGTTTCAGAGTTGGTATTTTCCACTATTATCTATTCTTCTTATGTTTTCTATACTCTCAATTCTTGTATCCCAAAAACAGATGCATCACAAAAAATGTTACAATATCACAGGATGAGGTCGAGGTAATTCTTCAGAGTTTTCAAAATAGCACTACCTGAAGCCAAAGTGGAATGTTTTGCAATGGTTCAGGATTTAAGCTACTATCACAGATCCCACAAACCCACCCTATCAGTTGTTCATGTATGAGTCTCAGGCCTACTCTCAAACCTGAAACTAGAGATAGGTAGCTGGCCTGAGAGGTAAACATTGCTTTGGAGGCACAATTCCACCAATGCCAATAATCCCCCACCCACCCTAACCTTAATACAGGCTTGATTTGGCCCTGTATTAAAAACACAACACAGACCAGCCCCCCATCGTCAGAGATGGAAAGGAACGCGGAGGTTTGTTAATGTTTCTGCGGTTGCACTGGACTCACAACTTCTTGGAAGCACAGCAAGATGAAGAAAACCAAAATTAACAAACAAACAAACAAACAAAACAAAACCTGGAGAAAAGGAAAGATCAGCAATCATCCATGCAGTCACATTGTGGTCAAACTAGATGACACATTTACCATGTTTTTGCAGAGATACTCGACAAGGGGTAAAATACAGTAAACCTGTTTGTCATGTGAAACGATTTTTTCACCCATTTATCATGCTTTTAGAGTCCTTTGTTTTGTAATTGGCCATTGGAAGGTAAACACTGACTTAATTGTCTGCTGATCTTTGAATACATTCTACTTTAGGAGAGCAAACAGATTAATCACGGCAAATAGGAATGCCTGGTTTGTTCCCAGAGCACAGTGCAATTGCAGGATGATCTCCAGCGCTGCTCCACCTTGGAGAAGACAGCTGGTGCTCCCTTTCTAGTCTGGGATTCCAAGGCATTTAAATTCCTTCTTCCCAGCCTTAGGCTTGAGAGGGGCAGGATAGTCTCTGAGATACTGAATTGAGTTTCAGACATGCAGCATGAAAAGAGACAAGACAAGCTTTATATAAGGGGTTAAGGTTGTGGTACCCATAAAGTTCTGACTGGGAATTCAACCTGGACTCCTGCCTGTTAATTTTTTTCATGCTAGCTCTCTCTGTTCTACTGAAAGTAGTGCATACTTTTTTTTCAAAATAAAAGTAAGAAAAGCACTTCTTTCAGGGGCATATTCAAGCCACTTATGTAATTTGAAGGGATAAGAGGTTATGGGAAAGTGCATATATCTAATTTATCAAGCAGCAGATGGTATATTTGAAACTGAAAAGAGAAACATCTGTTAGAGGGAATATGAACATGTAAGGGCCATATATAAGCAAGGAAACCAAATGATATTAATAATCTGCAAAACAAATACATTTTAAAGAAAAGTCATCATTTCATGCAGCTTGCATAATCCAGTGTAAACCACAAGACCATTTGACTATAAACCAAATACATCAAATTACACATTCAGAATATGTTATATTTTATTTCAGTGTTTGCAACTTTAGAAAGATTAGGAATGTTTTTCCAGTTTTCAGAGTCTGAAATGGTTCCAACGGTTATTTAAATTCACTTCTGCAGGATGAAACAATAGCAGCATTCCATAGAAGCCATCAGGGAAGTGGACAGAAGGCCAAAATGAATCACGTGTTATAGCTCCTTACTACCATATAAAAGTGACAAGTATTTATATTTATTATTTACACCTACCATTTCCTTGTGATTCGGATAAAAAGTTTGTTCAATTAGAGGGAACTTCTCTGGTCCCAAAGTTCTGTAGATGGACACCAACTGGGCAAACTGCAGAAGACAATAAACAGAACTTTAAGCATGCTGAAATGACATCCGTGCTACTATTCAACTCTGCCATTATTATCTATTGAAACCTTACAATATTATCTATTGAAAGCAATCCTAAGATACAGGACAACAATCCTAAGATATGGACAAATTTTTTTATCCACTTACAGAGAAATAATGTATAAAAAGTTAAATGCACAAGGATAGATTTTGGGGTACTAACAAATGTTTTCTTGTCTTCAGCATTGACAACAATGCCTCCAATTCAACACACATTTAAATTATGAGTGGAAGCAGGTGCCCAACATTTTAGAGGGTGTGTGAGTCACCTAGGTAAAATTGATCCCTTCTAAGGAAATGGGTCATTTTCCTTTAGGGGTACAAATCTTTGCTTATTTCATTATTGCAGCTGTGTGTGACAGACAGTTTGACTGAATAGCTTTCTAATGGCACCCCAGTTAGCCTTCTAAGGGCCTCTCAGTTGAATCACACATTAGAAATGAAGCAATAAATCAGTTAGGAGGAGAAGGTTGAGAAGGTTGGGAAGGTCAGCTAAAGCAGTGGTTCTTAACCTTTGTTACTCGGATGTTTTTGAACTGCAACTCCCAGAAACCCCAGCCAGCACAGTTGGTGGTGAAGGCTTCTGGGAGTTGCAGTCCAAAACTCCTGAGTAACCCAAGGTTAAGAACCAGTGAGCTAAAGTGTAACGTGGGGTTCAGCTCTGGATGAATTCAGATGGGATTAGACAGGCTGGGTTAGTCTCGACATCTTCTTAGGCTGACCAAAAAGAACTAGAAGGGGTAAGAAGTACTTTTGAACTGAATTGAAAAGCAAAATGTCCATTCTCTAAGGGACTGGCTTTGAAGGAGCAGACTAATGGTAAAAAGATTGAGTTGGGATTAATACAGTTGTACCCCTATGTCTTTTTAAAATCTTAAAAGATGATGCTGTTAAGGTGCTACATTCAATATGCCAGCAAGTTTGGAAAACTCAACAGTGGCCAGAGGACTGGAAAAGATCAGTCTACATCCCAATCCTAAAGAAGGGCAGTGCCAAAGAATGCTCCAAGTACCGTACAATTGCACTAATTTCACACGCTAGCAAAGTTATGCTCAAAATCCTACAAGGTAGGTTTCAGCAGTATGTGGACTGAGAACTCCCAGAAGTACAAGCTGGATTCCGAAGGGGCAGAAGAACTAGAGACCAAATTGCTAACATGCGCTGGATTATGGAGAAAGCCAGAGAGTTCCAGAAAAAATACTTCTACTTCATTGACTATGCAAAAGCCTTTGACTGTGTGGACCACAGCAAACTATGGCAAGTCCTTAAAGAAATGGGAGTGCCTGACCACCTTATCTATCTCCTAAGAAACCTACATGTAGGACAGGAAGTAACAGTCAGAACTGGATATGGAACAACTGATTGGTTCAAAATTAGGAAAGGAGTACGACAAGGCTGTATATTGTCCCCTGG